ACCAGCGGCTGACTACAGGAAGCCCGAGGCAGAGTTGCTCTGCCCCAGGCTTCCTGGAATCAGCTGCTGATCAGTTTCAGTAGCAGCTGACTTGGGGACGCCTGGGTTTCTTAAGTTGAATCTGTATGCAAGTCAGAACTGGCATGCAGATTCAGCCGCGGTTGAATCTGATCAGTTTCAGCAGCGGCTGATGCCAGTTCCGACTTACATACAGATTCAACTTAAGAACAAACCTACAGTCCCTATCTTGTATGTAACCCGGGGACTGCCTGTACCTTGTTTAGTTAATGCTGTACTCCTTGTATCTTTATTTTAAATATTCAATTTAAGTAATTTCATACCGCCTCTAAATTTTTAAAGTGCTGCAGAATTTTATATTGGAAGGACATAACTACGTTGTAGGAACAGTTTTGGGAAATGAGACATTCTGACACCTGGGGAGGAACAGAAGGCTGCTTGGGATTGTTAAATAAGATTATCTGGATATTTTTGAAATGATCATCAGTAAATTAATGTAAGAACATTGATAATTTACATCATTATCACTAAGCTTCAAAATATTGTACTGTATACGGCAATTAAGACATAATGTAAGCCCCTATGGGATAATAGGGCTGTAAGGAATAGCTAGCACGGATTTGTCAAGAACAAATCATGCCACACCAACCTAAGTTGCTTCTTTGACAGGAAAAGTGGCTTAGTGAATAAAGGGGAATCTGTAGATGTTATTTATCTTGATTGTTAAGGCTTTTGATACAGTTCCACATGACATTCTTTTAAGTAAACTAGGGAAATATGTATGACATTACTTATAAGGTGGGTGTATAACTGGTTGAAAAACCATACTCAAAGTAATTTTCAGTGGTTCACGCTCAGACTAGGAGGGAGTTACTTGGATAGTAGAGTGGAGAAAATGCTTATAAAATTTGATGGCATTAAGTTGGGAAGGGTTAAATGTACTTTGGAGGACAGAATTAAAATTCAAAATGTGAACAAATTGAGTAACTGGTGTGAAATCAACAAGGTGGGACAAGAAGTAATTGGCTTAATCTTCAGCATGAGATATTTAGGTTACATATTAGGAAAAAACTTTCTATATATAAGGGTACTGATGCTCTGGAATAGGCTTCTAAGGGAGATTATGGAATCTCAGTCATAGGTTTTTTGATATATACCTATTAGGGATAGTTTAGAGTTACTTGGTTCAGGTGCTGGACTAGATGATATTTTGAGGTCCTTTACAGCTGTACATTTCTTATGATTCTATAATTGTGGTTTCTAGAGACAGCATTAAGAGAATGGTCTGGTTACAGGTTGGCTTTATGTGAATAATAGGTGGAGATCTAAGATTAGTTATGTTTTATAGTGAAAAATTCAACATAGAATCATAGAACCAAAGAGCTGGAAGAGACCGCAGAAGGTCATCACGTCCAGCCCCCTGCTCTAGGCAGGACCAATCCCAACTAAATCAATCCGGCCAGGGCTTTGTCAAGCCAAGACTTAAACACTTCTAGGGATGGAGACTCCACTACTTCCCTAGGTAACCCATTCCAGTGCTTCACTACCCTCCTAGTAAAATAGTTTTTGCTAATATCCAACCTGGACCTCTCCCACCACAACTTGAGAATAACATGAATTTATACTTTAATTTATTTTAGTCATCTGACAATGTGTTGTTTTTAGAAATATGTATTGTATTGCTGAATTATGGAATAATATAGACTCAGATTTATCATAAAATTTAATGCTTAATATTGTTGCATTTTTATGGTACATATTCATGGAGATGGAAACTTATTTTTTAGAGACTGGCAGCAATTATGATACTTAAAACATCTCTATTATCCAGATAAACTTGACAATGCTCCTAGTAATTTGCATTTTATTTCAGATAATTTCTGAAATTATAACACAGAATTCATGCTAGTACTTCTGTGCATATTTTCCTGACCTAAAGATGTAAAAAATAAGACTTAGACCAATATGAGACCTGTTTTTCTTGCCAATTTTTTTCTCCACATGTATACTTTCATACTTAAATACTTATTCTAACTTACATAATTACAAAAAGGTTTTCATCAGAAGTTTTAGACCCAAAGAAGTTTTGTGGTTGCCTTCATGAGAGCTGGGTACAGTGCATTTTCCACTCATAGTAAATATAGTAAATATACATTTTGTGAATCTGTGAGGTTGGACCAAATCCTGCATTTTGCTAAGCATCTATGCAACATTGCTAAATGCTCTCTACTTCTGATCACTAGAGAGTTTACACCCGAGGGAATTCTTTGTCACTGTGTGTGTGCAGTATTGGTATCTCTTGAAGATTTCTTTGTTTCCCTTCAGAAAATGAATTCTAATGGAGAAGCAAAGGAAGCTACAAGAGTGGTCATGTGCCCCTCTCCAGCAGGGCAGGCAGATTGATTTGTGCTCCTGGAGTAGCTATAGAGACATAAATCACTGCTGGTGGATAGAGGGACTTGACAGTCATGCATATGAGAGAAAGAGAGGAATTTTTGGAATGAAAATATTTCCTGTCAGAATGTGCTGCTTGAACTGTCTGCTAGTGACCTGGCTGGAGATCATTAGTAGCCAATAAAAATTGAGAGTTTGGTTCCCCAGCCCTCACTTGCTATTCAGTTGTCTATGATGTAACATTGGACATATAGCAGCATATATTTGTTGTTTAATAACTTGACATAAAGGGTCACACCTGGCTATGTTACTATTAGGCGAAGAGTTTTGAGATTTTTCTCCAGGGCATCCCACTCCCATTCTCCATCAGTTGTATTGTAGTTTAAATTACTAAAATAATCAAAACCAGAATAATGATATACTGTATTATTTTGACAAAATATACCAAATTTTAATAAACTGTGGACAGTATTTTTAATTTTTTTTGGTGCAGAATGCCCCCAGGAGTGAGAAATGGAGATTCCTTGCGTCTTTTTCAGATTTTGATGTCCGTCAGAAGGGACTGTTCTGCTCATCAAGTCTGCTGTCCTGTAGGGACAAATAATGAAATTTCAACAAGTGATTCTGGCATCAAGCCCATAATTTTTCATTGTTAGAATATATCTTTCAGAAAACTATCCAGTCTTGAGTAAAGACTTCTAGTAACAAAGAATCCAGACTCCACCTTTTGTAAAAGGGCTCCTTCCTGTGCAGTTAATATTAATATGAGTTTTGTATTAGATTTGTTTCACATGCAACTAAAAAGTTGACCTTGTAGTTCTTGCATGCCTTCGTTTTTCTGTATATCACTTTTCATTATTTCATGCTAACATTGGTTGTATAAATCGGACATTTGTTGAATGGCTGGGGAATTACTGTGAAAAATAATCTAGATCTCAAATATGGTAGAAAATAAATACTTCCATGGTACCTCGGTAACAGCAGAGATATGTAGCTTAGTGTCCTTTGGTGCTTCAGTGGTTAACATTACACATCTTAAAACAAATAAAATAGACAACTAGTGAGCATTCTTCTTGTGTCACATAATATTTTTTATGTTTTACTTTAAGGAACAAATTATTGGCATTTTAAGACAGAACAATAATTTTGATGTTGCAAAAACTCGGACAGCTATAATGAGAGAAGTGTGGTAGTGCCATGCAAACAAAAAGTATATTGCCAGCAAGCAAAAGGTAATAGCATCCTGTATGCCCAGAAGGCCTTCTGTGATATTTGTGTCTGCTTATGATCCACTTTACCCTCAGAACAGTCTATTTTTAAATTGGTGCTGGGTCTGACTTTATTAAAGAAATGTTGTTGAAACATATTTAAATGTATGATTGTGTATGCTGTAGTCTTCGGTGCTTTAGGACACTGGCACCTAATTTTTTTTCCCTACTGCAGATTTTTGTTAGTTTGCAGTTTTCCTGAATTCAAAGACTTATCTGATTAATATTAAAATTAGGGTTACCATATTTGAATTTTCAAAAAAGAGGACACCCTTGAGAGGGAGTGTATATGTATCAGTGTCTACCAGTTCATGTTCAAATCATAGTTTCATCATTTTAACTGTTCAGTGGTCAGATAATCCCAGAATTTCTGAATAAAAATAGGAAGAGCTACATATAACCAGAAAATCAAATCGTTTAATTTGTTGAAACTATATTTTTGTGTTCACCCTTACTAGCAATATGATTTTTATAATATTTAGTAAATGTAGATTACATGTAGAAAACTATCACCTCACAGGCATAATATGCAGACACTTGAGAAAGAAAGAGCTTAAGAATTGTTGGTCACAGTATATGTGTATTTATTGTAACAAGTAAAAGTAAACGTTCTATAAATCTAGAAAGTTATAAGCATAATAATTTTTATAGTCCTCTTATGGCTTTCAAGCTCTGTATTATTGCATGATTTTTTATTGTTGTATTGATTAACTGTATGCCAGAATTTTTAATAAATAGACATTACCACCTTAAATCTCATTCTTTGGACAAGGAGGTGATACAGAAAATTCAAAATTTGAGGACACTTCCAGGAGAAAAGGACAAGATTGCCAGAAGAGCAGGGTGATCCATGGATGAACGTGGCCATGAGAACAAGGCAGAAGAAGAAATTAGCTAGTGCTAATTGAGGTCATGAAATTGAGTTCAGTAACATATTTGCTACACTGGGAAATGTGAAGGCGATACTGGCAGAAGATGGAGTGATGAGAGAGAAAAATAGGCACACTAGTCCTTGCAGAAGAGAAGATGAGTTGATGGAGGTAGCTGGAAACCAGAGGCTACAGAAAAATGAGAGACTGAACAGGGCACTGTGAGAGAGAACATATCACAGATTCATTCTAACATCAAGAAGAAACATATCTATGTGACTTGAGTCTCTGTGCTCAGAAGAATAGACAGGACTGTCACCAGATCCAGAGAAGAAAAGTGTGTGCTGTTTTCTAGGAGCAGAGATGAACCAACATGTGTTGAAGTCAGATATGGTAATGATGTGTATTAAGGATCTCATAGAAGAATTGGTTTTAGGAGGCAAATTTGGTTCAAGTAATCATGAGCTAATTCCATTCAAACTAAATTGAAGAATAAAAAAAAAATCTGCAACTTCAGTAACTGATTTTAGAAGGATAAACTTAAAAACATTAAGGGAATTAATTAATTAAGTGGACTGGAATGAAGAAACTCAAGATCTGAATGTGGAGGAGGCCTGGAATGACTTTGTCAAAGTTGCAAAACTCTCTGAAGCCTGCATCCCAAGCAAGGGGCAAAAATTCATAGGGAAGGGTTGCAGACCAAGCTGGATGAGCAAGTGCAGGGCATCCCTGATATACGTCCAAGATACATTCAAACAACATGGATGTATAGTATAAGGATGTAAAGTGGGGGATTTTTTCCAGTGGGTAACTTCCTCTTGTGTGAATTGGTCTTTTATTAATTTTTCTTGTTGTTTTTGTTTTTGCCTGACAGAACAGCGGGGAAGGGGAGGACTTAGAACAGTTCCCACAACTGTCAACGATGCTACTGTGGAATCATTGTATACTGGGGCAAATTATAGTAAGGATGCCCTGTATCTCAAATAGATAACTAAGAGAAAGCAGAAAGCCTAAAAGGAATGGATGATGGGATGCATCAGCCAGGAAAGTTATCTCTTAGAGGTCAAAAAAGAAAACAAGCAAAGAGGAAATGGGACCATTAAGCACTGAGGATGAGATGGAGATTAAAGATAATTCTAGGCATGGCCTAACAGCTAAACAAATACTTGGCTTCTGTTTTAATAAGGGTAATGATAAGTTTAGGAGTAATAGTTGGATAGTTAATGGTAATGAGGAATTGAAAGTAGAAATTACCACATCCATGTGGAAGTCAAACTCATACATCTTAATGGTATTAAAATCAGTGGGGCCAGATAGTCTCTATCCAGCAATATTAAAGGAACTGGCATATGAAATTGCAAGTCCAATAACAGTGATTTTTAATGAATCTGTAAAATCAGCTGGCACACACTGAGTGGAGAATTGCTAATATAGTACCTATTTTTAAGAAAGGTAAAAAAAAAATGTAATCTAGAAAACTACAGGCCTGCTAATTTTACCTCAATTATATGCAATGCCTTGGAACAAATTTTGAAAGAGAAACTAATTAAGGACATAGAGGTAAATGGTAGTAGGGATAAAATACAGTATGGTTTTACAAAAGGTAGATTGTGCTAAAAACCCTAATCTCTGTCTTTGAGAAGATCACTGATTTTTTAGACAAAGGAAATGCAGTAGATCTAATCTAACTGGATATTAGTAAAGCATTTGTTACAGTTCATTAGTTAACTTAGAGAAGATGGGAATTGACAGGAGAATTGAAAGGTGTGCAGGGAACAGGTTAAAAAGAAATGTTGTACTGAAAGATAAACTGTCAGGCTGGAGTGAGATTACTGATAGTCCTCAGAGTTTGGTCTTGAGGCCAATTTTATTTAAAATTTTTATTAATGACCTTCCCACAAAATGTGTGTGCTAATAAAATTTGCCAATGACGCAAAGTGGAGAGATATTGCCACAATAAAGGATGACTAGAATATTATACACAAAGATATGAATAACCTTGAAAACTGGAGTAATAGAAGTTGGATGAAATTTAATAGTGCAGAGTGCAAAGTTATGTAGTTGGGAACTGACAATAAGAATTTTGCTATAAACTAGGTACTTATCAGTTGGAAGCAACAGAGGAGGAGAAAGACTTGAGTATTTTTGTTGATCAGAGGATGGTTTCGTTGCCAGTGTAATATGGCCATGCGAAAGGCTAATGCATTCCTACACAGCATCAGACAACATATTTCTAGTATAGAAAGGGAAGTATTAGTATCATTATATAAAGTGTGATCTCATCTGGAATACTGTGTGTGGTTCTAGTCTCCCATGTTTAAGATAGATTAATTCAGACTAGAACAGGAGTAGAGAGGTCATTACAGAAGTGGGTGGGTGAGGGCCTCTATCTTACAGTGTGCAAAAGGTCAGACTAGAGAATCACAAATGGTCTCTTCTTACCTTCAAGTCTGAGGTGGGAAATAACTACTGCTGAAAAGGAACAACTAATTGTGCTGCATATTGAGATGAATGACACTGCTACATTGCCACGGGAATGGATCAAAGATGACTGCACTTTCCTTGGTAAGATGCTTAAAGAAGTGAATATTTCTAATCACTGGAGAAGAAGGGTGAAGATTTAAAAAAAAAAAAAAAACCCAGGTACCTCAAGAATTGGTGCTATAGGGCTGGTTTTAGAATGACTGACCAATGGGATTCATTGGCTGGAAGAAGACTCTTCTTGACTGGTGGATTCCATGCGAGCACTAGGGTATTAACCCTCTGAGATCTGAGGCTGGAATAATTGGTAAGTGCTTTAAACTAAGAGTTAAGGGAGAAGGTTGGATGACACTTATGAAATCTCCATGCCTGGTTTCAATACACGGAAGGGGGAAAATCAGCAAAATATAAGGATACTAAGTTTTATAATGGACTGACACAAAATAAGGGAATCGACAGTAAGGAGGAAAAAATAGACATTGATTGGAGTGGGTAGGTGCTACAGGAAAGGAAAGGGCTATATTTAATCAGGTTAGAAAACTGGGTGAGGTCCGAGGAAAACAACTGAAATGTTTGTACATGAATGCAAGAAATCTGGTCAGTAAAATGGAGGAACTAAAATTATTGGTATAGGAAATTATATGTATTATATAAACACGACAGAATAACACTTATGACTGCGATACAGATAATGAAGGGTACATGCTTACGAGAGGTAGGAATGAAGGTAAAAGTGGTGGGATACTGCTATATATCAATGAAGTAACTTATAAAGAAATAAGAAGTAATAGAATGGACAAAATAGAATCTATTTGGGTCAAAATTACTTTTGGACACAGACTATAAAAGAAACTTTATTAGAAATTTGATACAGACTGTCAACATTTGAAATATCTTTTAATATTATTAGAGAGAAAAGTATTATTAGGACTTGTGTCATAATGCGATATTTTCCCAGATAAGAGAGGAAAATATGTGCTACTAATACTTGTAGAGCACCATTATTTCTGGGTATGATAGAAGACATTTTTCTTCACATTGCATTAGACCAAAAAAGGGGTGATGCAATTTTAGAATTGCATTTTGGTAAGTAGTGAGAAACATTATATATAAACTGGAATTAGGAAATAGCCATAGATTGAGTGATCGTAAATGGATTTTTTAAATGAATTGGAAGGTAATCAAAATCAGGTTATCAACTGTGGTTTTTATTTCAAAATGGCAGTCTTGGGGAAGTTAAGGGAATTAGTTAAAAAAATCATCTGGTCTGAAGACCTTACGGACTTTGATTGGCATTTCTTCAAATCCACTATATAAATACCACTGAAGTTTGCAGCCCAAATAGAGGGAAAAACATACAGGGAAAGTTTCCAGATCCAGTTAAATGAATAACCATCTCAAAAAGTTTATTTGGAGTAAATAGAGAGTCTATGGGGAATGGAAAAAAGAACTGGTCAGCAAAGAAGGCTACATCATGGAGGTTAGAACATGTAATAGTAAAGTGACAATTATAAAAGTTACGCTGAATTAGCTCTTTCCAAGCAAATGAAAACACATTATAAAAAGGTTTTTTAGTTATATAAATAAAAAGATAATAGAGAGTGATGAATTTGGATCCCATGTAGATGGGAAAGAGAGTAGAGATAATCTAGATATGACCTAAAACCTACATGAATAATTTGCCATGGTTTGCAATAAGAATATGGAATGTGCACACGAAGGTAGTAGAGCTGATGGAAATAAATAAGTGGAAATTACCACACTGAGGTGAAAGAAATCTTAGAGATTACTGTGCTCAAATCAGGAGACCAGATAATTTCCATGCCAGAATACTGACGGGTAAAATAGCTAGTCTGGTGGTACATTTTTTTTAAATAAATCTGTTTATTTTGTGGTAATACCCTGTGTGTGGAGAATAGCTAATACTGTACCTTGATTTAACAAATGCAGGGAAGGAGGGACTGGTCTGGGCAATTATATACCTATTTGTGTGACTTTAGCAGCATGGAAAGCTTTAGAATAAATTGTGAATGATATGTGTGGTAAAGGAATGTAATACTATATGGCAATGTTTCTCAGAATGGTCTGCGAAAGCACTTTGAGAAACCTGGTAACTGGCCATTCTGGTGTGTTTATTTACTGGCTCTGCAGCCACAGAGTCTCGCAGCTCCCATTGGCTTCAGTTTGCCATTTGCAGCCAATGGAATCCATGGAAGCAGCAGCCCACCCGCACTGCTTCCTGTGACTCCTCTTGGCTGCAAACAGTGAACCAGAGCCAATGGGAGTTGCGAGGCTCCATGGCTGCGGAGCCGGTAAATAAATACACTGCACTGGAGCTGCCAGTTAGTAGGTTTCTCAAAGTGGTCGTGCAGACCATTTTGAGAAACACTGCTATGTGGGTTTGCCAGACTAATCTGACTTCCTTCTTTGAGAAAATAACAGATTTTTTTAGCTAGAGAAATGCAGTATATCGAATGTATTTGGAGTTCAGTAAAATACCCTCTAAAGCATGCAGGGGTGGGTCACTTGCCAGGATTATCTGGGTATCTCTCACTTAATCGTTGCCCTGCCATTACACAGGTCTTGGGCATTGGCATGCCTTGTTCTTGCCTGTTGACTCATTATAACAGTGTAAAACTTAAAAAAAACAACAGATAGTCTAGTAGCACCTTAAAGACTAACAAAACATGTAGATGGTATCATGAGCTTTTGTGGGCAAAACTCATTTCAGATGACCGGAGTATAATAAGTCCAGATCCAAGAATAAATAAGGGAAGGAAGGGGGAGGGGAGGAAGAAAAAGAGAGACAATGAATAGATAGTGCAATAGTTACAAGAATCTGCTAAGAACCATTAGCACCTCCTTTTAATGACAGTTGTTTAAGTCATTAAAAGGTGGAAGATATCCCTGGTGCAGACCATTAGCATAAGAATTAGTCTCATTTGAGCTTTTATACTTCCTCTAATTTTGGTTCTGGGTTTGGTATTGCAAGTGTTGGTGGCCTGTGATAGATGGTAGGTCAGGGTATATGATCTAGTGGTCACCTTTTCTAATTGGCTTTCTAGTGGGGTTGTGGATCAGGTGCAACACAAAATAAAACTTCTAAAACATATGAATGCAGATGTATTTGAAAATCTTTCTTTCTTGTAAAGACTTTTTGTTGTATTAAGAATTTAAAGGGGAGTTGTAACTATATGCAAAACAACTCAGCAGGGTTTTTCAGTTCACAGACTTTGCTACTACATACAGTAACAGTTAAATGACAAGGGAAATTTAAAATTGAAGGGACTCTTCATCTCATGATTTGTAAAAGCTCTCTTTTGGTATTGTTCTAGAAATTTCTGCCAGTAACCACATTTAGTCGTAATGCATTGCTTCAGTGTATTCAGCTATATACTGTTTTCTAGAGTCCTTGTAGTATGTCACAGCAACAAATATATTCTCTAGGTACTTGTGCCAACGTTAGCAATCATATGAGACAGCCATTGGTATTCATATAACATATAGTGAACATTTAGTATTCTGATTAGTACAAAGTGTACTTCAGGCTAGAACATGCCATCTGGGTATCCTTAATTACTAGTTTTAGTTCTGCTTTGTGTGATATTGTGGTGGCTCAGTTTGGTTGGGAGACCCTACTCGTAAGTTCGGGCAGTGTGCCGTGTGACCGACTGCCTTAAAGGCACCCCAAACTCCTGTGAGTTCGCTGTTCCCCTTAGGGTGAAAGTTCAATAGTTGGCTATTGTAGGTTGGTTGTTGCCTGACTGTGTAGGAATTTATAGCAGCACACATGGATACCATTGCAACCAAAGCGACTCTGCCCATGCACAGATTCAGCACCCTAGGCTACTTCATAGCGGTAGCACGAGCGACCCCTACCACGACGGTTCACAAATGCTTAAAGATTTTGGGCCACATGGCTGCCACAACGTACGTTGTCAGGTTGGCGAGGCTCCACGTGAGATTCCTTCAGTCTTGGCTCGCCATACTTTACACCCCGTCCAGAGACCTGCTTTCCAAGTCATAGAATCATAGAGCTGGAAGGGATCTCAGGAGGTCATCAAGTCCAGCCCCCTGCCCACGGCAGGACCAACCCCAACTAAACCAACCCAGTCAAGGCTTTGTGAAGCCGAGACTTAAAAACATCTAGGGATGGAGATTCCTTTACCTCCCTAGGTAACCCCATTCCAGTGCTTCACCACCCTCCTAGTGAAATAGTTTTTCCTAATATCCAATCTAGATCTCTCCCAGTGTAACTTGAGACCATTGCTCCTTGTTCTGCCATCCGTCACTACCGTGAACAGCCTTTCTCCATCCCCTTTGGAACCTCTCTTCAGGAAGTTGAAGGCTGTTATCAAATTCCGCCTCACTCTTCTCTTTTGCAGACAAAACAAACCCACATCCCTCAGTCTCTCCTCATAGGTCATGTGCTCCAGCCCCCTAATCATTTTGTTCGCCCTCCGCTGGACCCTCTCCAATGCGTCAACATCCTTTCTATAGTGGGGGGAGGGGGGGGACTAGAACTGGACACAATACTCCAGATATGGCCTCACCAGAGCCGAATAAAGGGGAATAATCACTTTTCTGGATCTGCTGGAAATGCTCCTCCTAATGCACCCTAATATGCCATTAGCCTTCTTGGCTACAAGGGCACACTGTTGACTCATATCCAGCTTCTCATCCACTGTAATCCCCAAGTCCTTTTCTGCAGAACTGCTACTTAGCTATTCATTCCCCAGACTGTAACAATTCTTGGGATTGTTCCATCCCAAGTGCAGGACTCTACGCCCTCAGTACCCTTGGATGCATTAAATCTGGGCCCATTGTTGCTAGGAAGAGTCAGTCTCAGGTCCGACACTGGTTTCTCAAAGTACGAAGACATGATACACAGGTAGCTGTCAACCATAAGCTGTTTATTTTCTGACAGCTATCAGCTGTGCCCCTTAACTAAAAGAACAACATGATAGGAAAAGTGGCATTATTACATCACTTCTGCTAGCCGGGGAACCCCATTTAGGCTGTGAATGAAGTAGGAGACTATCTCCGCTTCCGAGGTGCAGGTACCCAAAGCCCATCAGTGAGGTCCAAATTGCTGTGCTCTGGTGCAGCTTTAAATACTGTGTCTCTACCTTGTTTGTGGCAGTTTGGAAATTTCTGGGGGTTACTCATTGCTTGTTACAGCATGTCTCAACCGTACTGCTTGTCCTTTGACTTTGTTTACATGATCAGTACAGTTAGGTAAACAAGATTATGTTCCTGCCCTTATCTACAATTAGTTCTTGCTACAATGGTGTATGTTCCTAGAGGCTTGCTTCTGGTTCATCAGTAGTAGGAAAGGGCGGGTTGGGATGGGAAAGGGAGGGAATGCGGGCCTCACCACCGCTATACTTCACATGTACAGAGTTCTTCCGCAATTGACCCCTACACCCATGGATTTGTGTATGTTTAGCTTTTCTAAATAGTTCCTAACTTGTTCTTTCCCCACCAAGGGCTGTCCACCTCCTTCCCATACTGCGTTGCCTAGTGCATTTGTCTGGGAGCTGACTTTGTCCGTAAAGACAGAGTCAAAGCATTGAGTACTTCAGCTTTTCCCACATCATCTGTTACTAAGTTACCTCCCTCATCCAGTAAGGGTCCTACACCCTCTCTGATCACCCTCTTACTGCTAACATGCCCGTAGAAACCTTTCTAGTTACCCTTCACATCTCTTGCTAGCTGCAATTCCAATTGTGCTTTCGCCTTCCTGATAACTCCCCTGCATTCTCGAGCAATATATTTATACTCCTCCCTGGTCAGCTGTCCAAGTTTCCACTTGTAAGCTTCCTTTTTGTGTTTAAGCTCGCCAAGAATGTCCCCAGTAAGCCAATCTGGTCACCTACCATATTTGCGTTTCTTGCTGCATATTGGATGGTTTCTTTCTGTGCCTTTAATAAGGCTTCTTTAAAATACTGCCAGCTTTCCTGGACTCCCTTCCCCTTTATGTAAGCATCCCAGAGAATCCTGCCCATCAATCCTCTGAGGGAGTCAGTCTGCTTTTCTGAAGTCCAGGATGTGTATTTTGCTACTCTCCTTTCTTCCTTTGGTAAAGATCCTGAAATCTACCATCTCATGATCACTGCTTCCCAGGTTGTCACCAACCTCTACTTCCCCTACTAGTTCCTCCCTGTTTGTGAGCAGCAGGTTAAACTGCGCATGGCCCCTGTTTGGTTCCTTCAGCACTTGTACCAAGAAGTTATCCCCAACATTCTCCAAAAACTTCCTGGATTTTCTGTGTATTGCTGTATTGGTCTCCCAACAGATATCAGGGTAATTAAAGTCCCCCATGCGAACCAGGGCCTGCAATCTGGAAGCTTCTCTCATTCCCATTCTGCCATGGGTTCTCAACTCCTTGCACTGGTGAACGAATCCACACAATGTTCTAACAGGCATTCCATTCCATCAACCAACCCCTACACTTACCATTATGACTGATTAATCACGTAAAGGATGGGGTGCTCACGAAGGACCTCATGGCCCAGGGCAAGTGGTCCTTCATGGAGCAAACCCTCCATATCAACTTTTTGGAACTGAGAGCAGTGTGATATGCATGCCAACATTTCCTACACTCTGTAGCTTACAAAACTGTCAGCATCATGATGGACAATCCCACTTGCATGTATTACATCAATCGACAAGTCGGTGTACAATCCTCTATGTACAGAGGCTCTCAGCTATGGAATTGGTGCCTGGTGCTCCAGATTACCCCATTGCCACGTACTTCCCAGGGGTGTTAAATATGACCTCAGATGCCCTCAGTCTCAAATTTTATGACCACCACAAGTGGGAGATAGACATGCACGCCCTCGGTTACGTGTTTTACCGATGGAGTCAACCAGACGTATACCTTTTCGCGACCAGGAACAACCACAAATGCCACCTTTACTGTTCCAGGAAAGCACTCCCTGATGGATGCTTTCGCCATCAAATGGGACGCACCACTACTCAATGCATTCCCACGTCTTCCCATTTTCCACAAGGTCAGCATCAAAATCAGAACAGATTGAACTTTCATGATTCACAT